ATTGCTGACAGACTGCATGCCAGCCCCGAAGCCGAGGAGACTGCCAGAGCCTGCCTCATTACCACCCCCCCTCCTGCCAGCTGAGTGCTCCTCTGGGGAATGTGAGTGCTGCCTCACTCTGCCCCCGGCCTCATGGACCCCGCCCCACGGCTGAGTGCCTGCACAGGGCTGAGCCGAGCTGTGCACAGGGCTGTGTGCGGGCCTGCAGTTGCTGAAGAGCTGGCGCCACAAACGGTGCTGGTAGCCGACCGCAGGGCTCAAAGCTCCCAGAACTCAGGATCTCCCCCTTCTTAGAGATTTCGGAACTTAAAAGGCATGGTAGCAGAAAAATGGGGCATGGGGAATATTCTGTCTGACAGTTCTATCCCAAATGAGCACCACAGCCCGGGCTGGGCCGGACCGAGTATCCCGTGAGGTGACAGGGATGCGAGTACTTAGGCCACCCTCTGCAGCGGAGCAGCTGGGACGTCACAGCTCTCTACGCATCGAACCAGTGTTTACGTGGGATGCTGCTGTGACAGGCGGCAGCTTACCCTGCTGTAGGTCGGTACCTCCTCCTACTCCCCCAGCCCCCCAGGTTCCTACAAACTGGTGTCAGCAATCACTAAGTAGTTAACATTTCCAGCATCACACACACACACACACACACACACACACACACACACACACACACACACACACACGCAAGGACCACTTGTTCAGGAAGATGGAACAATTTGACGCTGTAATAGCAATTTTAAACGGTCACTCTTCTCAATTATTAGGTACCCTGAGGGAGGATGAAGCACAGTTGAATGTGCACTGTGTGTCATGTATGTGATGGGCACATGAGCGAGAGAATAGCACCCTCAAAGCAAGAGCTCGAGAACAGAGAGCTTGACAGGGCCTCGTGCTGTGGCATAGCGTGTTAAGTCACCACGTGCAATGCTGGCATCCCCTACAGATGCAGAGCTCGTGCTCCACTGCGAAGCCTGGTACGGTAGCCTAGCGGCTAAAGTCCTTGCGTTGAAGGCACCAGATCTCATATGGGCACCGCTTTGTGTCCCCACAGCCCCGCTTCCCACCCAGCTCCCTGCCTGTGGCCTGGGAAAGCAGTCGAGGATGGTCCAAAGCCTTGGGACTCTGCACCGGCATGGGAGACCTGGAAGCAGCTCCTGGCTTCGGATCAGCTCAGCTCCGGCCGTTGCTGTCACTTGGGGAGTGAATCATCGGATGGAAAATCTTCTCCTCTGTCTCTCCTCCCTGTGTATCTGACTTTCCAATAAAAATCAATAAATCTTGAAAAAAAGATACACATTTTAAGGCATCCAATTGGCAGAGAGGGAAGAAAGCAATTGCCCACATCAGGAAGGACCTGGGACTGCAAAATTTCCACTTATCTTTTCAAGATGTGATTATTTCATTGAAAGGCAGAGTTCGAAGGAGAGGGGAGGGTGAGATGCGAGTGCTCCCGCCTGCTTGTTCCCTTCGTCACGGCCACATCAGCCCCACGCCAGGACCCGGCACGCCATGTGTGTTGATGGCCTGGGCCAAATTCTGTTGCCTTTCCAGGTGCATCAGCAAGGGGCTGGGTCAGAAGTGGAACAACTGGGACTAGAACCAGAACTTATATGCCATGCCTGCATGGGAGGCTGAGGCTTAACACACAACGCCATCATGTTGGCCCCACAACTATATATATATATAACTATATATATATATATATATAACTATATATATATATATATACATTTAAAAATTTTTTTTATTTCTTTAATTTTTCACTTTCTCCTTAAAACTGTTTGCACAGTTAAGCATGTGCACACCCAGGTGGGCCTCTGACTGGGGAGGGGGGTCAGGTACCGAGGGAGGTGGGTGGGACAAATGCCTTAGTCCTTCTCTCTTTCCTTCCTCCTGTGTCCACTCCCTACCACAAAGTGCACCAGCACCCAGGGAAGGGGGATGGCGCCTTGATGGCGCCTTGGAGACGGCGAGCGGGGAACACTGTCCCGAGGGCACTACCTGAGTGGTCGGGACAGTTCTGAGAAGTTTCTGGTTTCATTGCTCTAGGACTGAGAAAACTTTTCCAAGGTCTCCTGGTTGACAAAGTCCACCTCGGTGTGTCCACAGGCCTGTGAACTGCAGAGCTGGAACTGCCCAACCTGGCCTGTAAGCTCTGATGAGACGGCCAGCGTCCCTTGTAACAGCCAGAAATGGGTTGATCTGAACCCAGGAGCACGCGAGCAGGTCCCAAGGCTTTGCACCAGCCTCTGCTGCTTTCCCAGGCCACAAGCAAGGAGCTGGATGGGAAGTGGAGCAGCTGGGATACAAACCAGCGCCCATATGGGATCCTGGGCATACAAGGAGAGGACTTTAGCCACTAGGCTACCGCACCAGGCCCCAGCAGCTACTCTGCGCCAAGATGGTGAGCCGGTCCCACAGGTAAGAGCGACAGCCTCCAGCTCAGCAGCAAACCTCTTCCACTGGCTTGAGAAGTTGTTTCTAAGAAGTTCCCCAAAACCTGTGGGTGTGAAGCGGAGGCTGCGGCTTTGGCCACGCTGTAAGCAGGTGAAGCACCTGCCCGGGTCTTACTGCAGACATTCTGATTTCATGGCTGTGTGGCAGTTCGAGGTTTGAGGGACTTTAAAAGCCCCTCTTCTGCCCAGAGGATTGTTAACCTGCAGCCCAGTGACTCTCATTGGCCGGGAGTGACCCCGAGGAGGGCTCTGGCGGGGAGCTGCCCAATCAGAGCAGCTCGCTGTGCACTGTGATTCTGCGACCCTCTGAAGTGGGCTGCAGTAGGGGCCTGCTGTTGGGCTAGATCGCCACAGGACGGAAACGTCCTCTCAGCACTTCTATTTTTATGCCACTTCCTTTAAGAGCAAAGAGGTTCTTTATCCGGGCACAGTTGACTTACTTCGTGTTAGAAAACAAACCCCCCAAGGGCACAAAGGGACGACCAGACTGGGCAAGCACAGCGTGTTTTCCCATGTCCCTGTGACTGGCACGGACAGGCGTGCTGCCCGGGTGGGGCGCGGGGTCGTCTCCAGGGCACGGCCAGCACTCAGCCAGCTTCTGCTGCCGTCCGAGGTGCAGGAGCCGGGAGCTAGCCCGGAAGAAGGGCAGACGGACATGAAGTGGTACCTGTACGGGAAGCCAGCGTCACAGGCGGTGACTTTACCTGCTACGCCACAATGCCTGCCCTGAGCAGCAGTCCCTCTGTCCCTCTGCAATGCACTTAAAAAAAAGAGCAAACCCACATTTGAAAGGAAGTGTGAGAGAGAGCACAGAGATCTTCCACCCACTGGCTCACTTCTCAGAGCCCCAACAGCCAGGGCTGGCCCAAACTGAAGCCGGCAGCTGCACTAGCCTGCAGACACGGGGCGCTGGCCTGGCTGTCGGCAGCTCAGCCATGTGCCACAGGGCCTGCCTCTGTAGTTTACAACCATCCCACTGCCAGGCCCTGGTCAGCAGCCTGCAAGGTGCCAGTCTAGGTTCAAAAGAGCTTGAATGCCTTTGCTGCCTTGTTGGACTCCTGCACTTCCATTAGCACCAGCACATGTTGGCTGGCTGCGGGCTGAGGCCCCAGGGACAGTGGCAAGGTGCCCAGCTGACGGTCAGCGAGCCCCGAGGCAGCGCAGGAGTGCCCAGCTGATAGTCAGCGAGCCCCAAGGCAGCGCAGGAGTGCCCAGCTGACGGCCAGCGAGCCCCGAGGCAGCGCGGGAGTGCCCAGCTGACGGCCAGCGAGCAGCCCCGAGGCAACGCAGGAGTGACCAGCTGACAGCCAGCATCACGGCCAGCATCACGGCTGATCAGCTCCCCGCTCGGGGTAGTGTGTCACACGGCAGCAGCCAGCTAATACACACTCCCACTGCAACCAAGACCCCAGGATCTAACGCAGAAAGAGAACCTGGGGCATGGAGACTCCTGGTGTCGGGCCCAGAATTCCCTTTCCGGTCATCGGCCCTTGTGAGAAGACATGCCCGCACGTGATTAGCCACTTCAGCTCACACACACTGCAGGGAGAATCTGCTCCTTGGGCCCCACTCCCAGCTGCAAATGAGCAGCTTGCTCTTCCAAGTCTAAATGCTGCAGGTCGAGGCTGTGGGCAAACCTGAAGATTGGGGTCTCCCCTCCTGCAGCCCCTCAGCCTCTGATTACTGCCTGGTTCCTAGGAACGGGCCACGGCGCACCCAGCACCAGGGTGAAGCAGGTGTCCGGCTTTGGCCATTTCCTCCCCGCATCCCTCTGCCCTCTCTCCGGGAACCTGCTCTTTCCCAAGGGCCTGGGTCTTGTGTCTCCCTGAGGAGTTGAAACACAGAGAGCCACACTTTTGATGTGACAGCCACTTCAGGGTGCCTCACTGGGGACATGGCCCCACACCAGGACCCAACTGCTGGCTACAGCACGCGGCTACACTCTGAGCAATCGAGGGTTTTCATTGCTACCTAAGCTTACTCCACCCCACTTGTTCCTCTACTTGCTATGTCACCCAATACCTTTCTGCTCTTTTGTAATACTTTAGGAAAAAAAATGCAGGGAAAAGAGAGATAAGGAGGGATGGGGAGAAGCCCTATGCACCGTGAAAAATGTGAAATGTACTCTTTAAAAAACTTTTAGAATTAAAAAAAATAAAAGTTGCGCTACCATCTGTTGTCAAACTTCCCAAGGGGGTAGCCAGGGGTCTCCATCCAGGGGTCTCAGTGTTAAGTGGTGCATCGCCGCCAGCCCCAATCCAGCCCGTGAATTGCCACGCGCACCTCCCAAGCCGGACCGGAGGGGCGTGGCGAGGGGCGTGGCACCAAGGGAGGGAGTGGGCGGGCCAAGGGGCGTGGCGCCGAGGGAGTGGGCGGGCCGGCGAGGGAGTGGGCGGACCAAGGGGGCGTGGCACCGAGGGAGCGAGTGGGCGGACCAAGGGGCGTGGCACCGAGGGAGTGGGCGGGCCGGGAGGGATCGGTGTGCCGTGCGGTGGGCGGGGCGAGGGGCGGGGCCCGGAAGATGGGCGGGGCGCGCAGCTCGCCAGGCGCCGGCGTAGCGGACAGCGGCGGAGGGCATGGCCACGTTGCGCAGACTGCGAGACACGCCGCGGCACTTACTGGTCTGCGAGAAATCCAATTTCGGCCACGAAAAGTCGCGCCACCGGCACGTCGTGGAGACGCACTATTACAACTACAGGGTGAGTCCGTCCCCGCTGGCGGGCGGCCGGGAGCAGCTTCTCCCACAGCCGCGTGGCCGGGACTGTCGTGGGCGTGCGCGGATGGACGCGGGCGTCGCTGTGCATCATGGGAACTGTAGTCCCTTCGCCGCCTCGACTTCCTCGTTATCAGGGCTGCAGGACTTCAAGTCCCAGGGTGCACCGCTGGCCGGGTGAGGGCGTGATTTTTTGAGTGCAGCAAGGGAAAGCTGGAGGTGCCGCATTTCTCTGCTTGAAATTGGGGGCGCGGACCTGATCTGGTGCTATCCCAGGGACTTGTGGGCGAAGTGGCAGCTGTTTCTTTCCTGGGACAGCGTGGGAGGGTGTCCTTCGGGGCAGTGAGGCCTTACCTGCGCGTGTCCCCATAGGTCTCGTTCCTCATTCCGGAATGTGCCCTACTGTCCCAAGAACTGAAAAGTCTGGTGACCGAGTTTGGACCCTATTACCTTGTGAAGAACTTGCCTGTGCACGAACTAATCAGCCCCGAGTTCATCAACACCTTTGTGAAGACAGGTAGGGAAGCCGTGTGGCCCCTGAGCAGACAGCACGCTTAGCGCGGCGTGGGGGTGGCACACACGGGCAGCTCTGTGGGGGAGACAGTGGGCAGCTGAACAGACAGCAGCCCTGTCCATAAGCGGCAGACTGTTCTGGAACTGATGGTGTGTGCCTCCTGTTGACTGTGTCTGTCTTAGGCAGGGCCTGCGGTGAGCGCCCATGTGTGGGGCCTGCGTTAGGGTTAGGCTGTCCTCGCTCACCCGGGTGGCCAGCCAGCTCTTGATGGCACCCCCTGCCGCGGGAATTTCTGCTTAGACAGCCCTCCCTGTGTTGGCGAGGAGAGGCTGAGCCTGGGCATCGGGTGGACTGGGCAAAGAGCTGGCCGCCCTGCTCAGGCCTGGCGCCTGCTTGCACGCTGTGGCCCTGCCCCTCCGGCTTGCCCCCTGGCCAGCCGTGTCCACCAGGCTTCACTGGTTGGTGCCAGTTGTTTCCTGGCAGCCCACGGGGATCGCGGCCTGACTTGCCGTAGGGCCTCGCTGGGCGGGACGGGGTGGTGGGCAGAGGTGGCCTGCTTGGGGCCGCTGGCCCGTGTGTGGAACTGGGCACCGTCGCCTGTGGCTGGCAGGTTTTCTCTTGTGGATTTGGAAGTCTGAAGCTGTTTCGGTTCTAGCTAAGCTAGCTAGCGTGGCGGACTCGAGCAGGTAGGCCCGGGTCCTGATGTGATGAGCGCAGACAGGCTTGGAGGAGCTGGAGAACTTTGAGTGTGGGGCCGTCGCTCTGAGAGTACCTTGACCCAGGTTCCCGACCGCCCCCGCTGCCAGCATCCCCAAGGGCCATGCGGTGCCCTGTGTCCATCGTTCCGATTGCTAGCAGGTGCTATGCACAGGTGGGCCCTTGCTGGGGAGTGAGCCAGAGCTGGGCCTGCTGCGTGTCCCGGCTTGGCCTGAGCTGGAGCAGGGGAGGTGACGACCGTGAATAACCCAGTGACAGTACAGGTGTGCTGGGTGTCTTACTGTCTTCCCCGGCCCTTCCCGCAGGCTCGTGCTACGCGCTCACGTACAACACAAACATCGATGAAGACAACGCTGTGGCCTTGCTCCCGGGTGGTAATTGCACTAGTTTGTTCGTTATGTCCCTGCTTTTAGTGGAAGGGCATCCAATGTAGAAGACGAGGAAGACCTGCTTGTGCAGAGTCCAGTGAAGTGCTGCCTCCTCACGCCCCCCACCCACTCCCCTTCTTGGGGGCGCCAGGAAGGACTGGGCAACTCATCAAGTTGATACCTACACATAGAGCTCACTCTTTCTTTTTTTAAAAAGATTTAATTATTATTGGAAAGGCAGATTTGCAGAGAGAAGGAGACATAGAAAGATCTTACATCTGCTGATTCACTCCAGAAGTGGCTGCAATGGTTGGAGCTGAGCCAGTCCGAAGCCAGGAGCCAGGAGCCAGGAGCCTCCTCCCGGTCTGCCATGTGTGTGGGGTCCCAAGGTCTTGGACCATCCTTTGCTGCTTTCCTGGGAGCTGCATGGGAGGTAGAGCAGCCAGGCCACACAGTGGTGCCCGCACAGGATGCTGCCACTTGAACCATTGTGTCAGCCCAGGATTTTTCTTTTTAACGCAGGTGCCATCATACTAGCTGGTTTGTCCGTGTGTTCTTCCCCCCGGGTGACGGTCACGGACACCTTTCTGCCATGCGCTGCTTAACAAGGCTGTGTTTGTCCCGAGATAGGCATCCGCGGGCGGTCTTGTAGTTTATGAAAATCTCTGAGTGTACTGACCAAACCTGGATGGTTCAGCTTGCTGTTGCCAGGGCTGTGACAAAACCAAATCGAGCAGTGGAGCGAATGGTGGCACCAGAGAAGGCTTGTAGAAGGCCCCTGCCACCATCACGTGGCAGGCTGGGTTTTTATTTTATCTACTTCAAGCCAGGCAGTGAGTGAGAGGGTGAGGTCTTCCATGTGTGGATTTGTCCTCCAAATGTCACAGCTTAGAGGGCTGGGCCACGCCCCAGGGCCCACGAGTGTGAGCCATTGCTTGCTGCCTTCCCAGGTGGGTCAGCAGGAGGCTGGGTGAGAAGCTGGGCAGCTGGGCCTTGGGCTGGCCTTCTGGTATGGGCTGTGACGTCTGTCACCTCCCGTGGAGCATTATTAGGAAATTGCATAGGAAGTAGAAGAGCTGAGACTCCGTCCCGGAGCTCAGGTACGGCGTGCTGCATCCCAGGTGCAGCTCCATGCACGGTGTCACGATTTTACAGAGCTGGAGAGAGGGAGAGACAGAGAGAGCTTCCATTTGCTGATTCCCAGGTGGCCACCGTGGCCAGCACTGGGCCAGGCCAAAGCCAAAGCCAGGTAGGGGCCCAAAGACTTGGGCCGTCTTCCACAGCATTCCCGGGCTTGTTAGCGGGGAGCTGGATTGGAAGCAGAGCAGCCAGGACTTGAGCAAGGGTACAGCGCAGTGCTGGCTCCTGACCAGCCACAATGCCGGCCCCCAACATTTTCTGTATAAGTAGGAATTGAATCAAATAACGTAAAAAAGATAGTATAGTAAATACATAAGCCATTAGCATAGTCCATTTATTGTCATCAAGTGTGGAGTATGCTGCAGAATCGTGTGTGCTGTGCCTTCATCCGCCCGAGAGTGCAGCAGGCGTGTTCACTCCGGCTTCCCCAGACGTGTGGACAGCGTCATGCAGTGCTCACACAGGAGGAGATTTTCAGCTCTGTTCCGATCTTCGGGAACCCACCTTGGATTATGCCATTCCTCATTGGCAATCCCACCTTGGAATATGCCATTCCTCATTGGCAATCTCACCTTGGAATATGCCATTCCTCTTTGGCATTGTCCGGGTCTGTGTCGTGGCAGAGGGTGAAGCACCAGCATCCCATACGGCACTAGTTCAAGTCCTAGCTGCTCTACCTCCCGTCCAGCTGCCTGCCGTCGCGCTTGGGAAAGCAGCGGAGGATGGCCCAAGGCCTTGGCCCTGCACTCATGTGTGATCTCCAAAAGAGACCGCTGGCGGCTGGCTTTGGACCGTCCCAGGTCGCACATTTCAGCTCTTTCGGCAGTGAACCAGTGGATGACAGATCTCTGTCTACTCCGTCTCCCCGCCATAACTGCCTTTCAGATGAGTGACCCTTAGGAAGAAGCAGTCATTTTCTGTAGCTCTCACTTACTATTTTTAATGTCCTAAAAGTGTTCAAAAGACCAAGTATGTTGTAGTTTATATATTCTTTAGTAGAAGTTTAGATTGTGTGTGGTTTCACTGCTCCAGATAATGGCCCTATGTGTGATGTTGAAGTAGTGTTGTGGGTGTAAGTAGCAGCCTTGTAAATGAGACCCTTGTGTGTGGTTTATTACATGTGTGTGGTTACTGTGCAGGCATCAGGCCTTGCTTTCTTTTGGTCAGAACCTGCTTTTAGAACCTACTGTTATTGGAATTACTGTTTGATTTATAGGGAAATTGATTTTATCCCTGGATAAAGACACTTACGAAGAAACTGGACTCCAAGGTCGTCCCTCCAAGTATTCCGGCAGAAAAACCATGAGGTTTAGTAAGTGTGGCGCACACGGCTCCGTTTGGCTCCGTTTGTATCAAGCTAGTCGCTTTCCTGCAGCCATCTCGTGTTTGAGAGCCTCTCTTCGCTTTGTTCAGGAAAATGAAGCATTTCCTGGTCTGAGAAACTTGGAACTCCAAAACAGTCGGACTTAACAAGGGATAAAGTGTCAGTGTTAAGTCTGTTTCTCTTCAGTTGTAGACTGAATTTTACAAAGAACCTATCCTTGGGTTGTTTCATTCGATATTATGTCTGTTTTGGATCAAAAACTCAAAGTAACGAACCCAAAGTGACAGTTTGAAACTTGTTAGTAATGAGTTTTCTTCCATTTTTTTAAAAAAAGATGTATTTTTATTTGAAAGGCAGAATTAAGAGGAGAGAGAGAAGGATTTTCCACGCCCTGGTTCACTCCCCGAGTGTTCGGGGCTGAGCCCATCGCGAGCCAGGAGCTCCTTCCGCGTGTCCTGTGCGTGTCCTGTGCGTGTCCTGTGTGCGTCCTGTGTGAGTCCTGTGCGTGCTGCCCCCCAGCTCTAAGCAGGGGCTGGGTCAGGAGAGGAGCAGCCAGGCCCTTAGGGGGCGCTGTCGCTGTGGACTGAGGCCTCGTCCTCATGGTTCCAGTAGGAATTCATCCGTGAGTGAAGACGCGTTCTGATGCTGGTATTGAATCCCTAGTGACCGGGGTGTCTTAATCAGTGTTAACTGCCAAGCCAAATGCCCATTCCGCCCTTGGTGTCTGGAGGCTGGCACCATGCATAGCAGATAAACCTCTGCTTGTGGTGCTGCCATCCCCACTGGCTGCTGGTTCAAGGCCTGGCTGCTCCACTTCTTTTTTTTTTTTCCTTAAGATTTTATTTATTTTTGTTGGAAACTCAGATATATAGAGAGGAGGAGAGACAGAGAGGAAGATCTTCCATCCGATGGTTCACTCTCCAAGTGGCCGCAACAGCTGCAGCTGAGCCGATCTGAAGCCAGGAGCCCAGAGCTTCCTCCAGGTCTCCTACGTGGGTGCAGGGTCCCAAGGCTTTGAGCCCTCCTCACTTGCTTTCACAGGTCATTAGCAGGGAGATGGGTGGGAAGCAGGGCCGCCGGGATTAGAACCGGCGCCCATATGGGATCCCAGCACGTTCAAGGTGAAGACATTAACCACTACCCTATTGCGCTGGGCCCCTGGCAGCTCCACTTCTGATCTGGTTCCTACTGATATTTCTGGGAAAGTAGTGGAGGATGACCCAAATTCTTAGAGCCCTGCACGCATGTGGGAAACACCGAGGGTGCTCCAGGCTCCTGGCTCTTGGCTGCAGACCGGCCCGTCTGGGAGTGAACCAGGGATGGAAAATCTCTCACACATGCGTACTTGTCACTCTCATTTCTCTTTCCCGTAGCTCTGCCTTTCAAGTAAAAATAAACACATTTTTGTACATATACATTGAAAGCATGTGTTACTAGCTCTCATTCTCTTAGTATGGGGGTGTTTTGGTGGATAAACCACAGGGAGTACAACAGGAAAAGTAACTTGTGCTTTCTATGCTGTTTAAAGTCCTGATTGTGGGACTGTGACGCTGTGTGTAATGTGTGTGTATGCATAATATGTACTTTTTTGCATTTTTAAGTTGTTTCCATTGATTTGATGGATTTATCCTTGAACCCGATTTCTAAGAAGTATGAAAGAATATCTTGGTCCTTCAAGGAAAAGAAACCCCTGAAATTTGATTTTCTTTTCGCCTGGCATAATACAGGTATGAAACACGAATGGCACAATGGTAGAGAGATATTGAAATCGGATTGTTAATGTGAATCTTTGGCCCTCCAGGAGATGATGAATTGGGCGAGCAGGTGCTGTCTCTCAGGGGCTGGGGAGGCACGGTGGTCCCAGCAGCCTGCCCTTTCCAGGGAGTGCCCACAGTGCTCTGCGGGTCCTAGTCCTCAAGTCCGTTGGCACTCCTTCCACCTGTAGGCATCAAAGGCAGACCGACAGACACTTCCAGAACTTTGCTGCATGAAGTCTGCTGTGAGAGCCGTCCACACACTGGGTTTTGAATAGCTTTTGTTTCTAAGACTCCTAAGTACTTTTAAGCATGTGTTAAGGACTCTAACAGGGCTGAGGTTTCACCCTAATTGTATGCCCACCTGGTGGCCTGCCTGAGTCTGGGGTTTGCTGGTGTGAGACATGATACTCCTGGGTCAGAGACGATGGGCTTCATTCATCATAGCCCTGGAAGTGGCCATAGTGTATGTGTCAGGATTCTCCAGTGATGGCGCCAGCAGAATGGAAGGATGGGTGGATGGAGGGATGGAGGGATGGAGGGATGGAGGGATGGATGGATGGATGGATGGATGGATGGATGGATGGTTGGTTGGTTAGGTGGATGAATAAATGGCTGACTGGGTGGGTCGGTGGATGGATGGATGGATGGATGGGAGTGAATTCATTGTGGGAATTGGCTCCTATGATTTTGAAGGTTGTCTGTGAGTTGGGGGCCTGAGGCTGCTGGTGCTGTGGCTCAGTCATGTTTGAAAGCTCTAGAACTGGGGTGCTGAAGGCCAGGGCGGGGCCGGGAGGGCAGCTCGGCTTTCTGATTGTAAGCACAGGGGAAGGTGTGTGTCTCTGCTTGGGTACAAGTTCGTGTCCCAGCTGCTCCACTTCCACTTCAGCTCTCTGCTTATGATCTGGGAAAGCAGCAGAGAGGTGCAAGTGCTTGGGCCCCTGTACGGGGCAGACCTGGAAGAAGCCCTGGGCTTCAGGTTGGCTCAGCTCTGGCCGCTGGCGGAGGGAACCAGCAGACGGAAGATCTCTCTGCCTCTCCTTTTCCCTGTCATGCATCCTTTCAAATAAATATAAATCTTAAAAAAAAATCTGTTTTATTTGAAAGTGACAGGAGAATAGAAAAAGGTCTCCCATCTGTTGATTCACTCCCCAAATGGCCACAGTGGCCAGGGCTGCTCCTGGCCAAAGCCAAGAACCTGGACTCCATCCAGGTCTCCCATGTGGGTACAGGGGCCCAAGCCCTCGGGGGCCTCATGTTGCCATTTTGCCAGTGCGTTAGGAAGGAGCTGGATCAGAAGCAGAGCAGCTGGTACTGGAACGGGCACCCAGACCTTAAGATGCGGCACCGCAGGGCCGGCCCTGGAACGCCCTCCTTGCAGGTTGTGCAGGCAGCTTGCTGAGTGTGGCCCGGCCGGAGGGAGTGACGTGGTCTCTAGTGCCCTGGGCAGTGAGCAGGCTGCCCTCAGGCTACAAGCACAGCCTGTTCCCAGATTGTTAGTTCTGCAGATTCCTGAAATCTAGAGACGCTTGGTTTGTCTTGGGCTGTCCAGGACGAGCCTGAGCGAGTTTAGTCAGCGTGTGTGCTGCTTCTGTGTCCTGGATAGAGTGGTGCGCCCGGGCGCTTTCCCCGTAATGTGCCAGTGTTACACGCACACACACAGCGTTGGTGGTTTTGTGCGTCCAGCTCTCACAAGGGTGAGAATAGTGAAACTCGCGTGGCGTCACGGATTCTTAAATGTGTTGCACTTCCTCAGAGAAGTGTGCCAGGAGGTGGATGTGGACAGAACGCGGGCACGGGACTGGAGGCCCTGGCAGTGACTGGCTGGAGTACAGCTTTGTGCCACCCCTCGTTCTGGGACAGGACCGGGCGGTGGTTGGTCAGGGATCGGCCCAGCTCCTCGGCAGTATCCCGACAGCCTCCTGTGTGGGTGCTTTCAGGTGCCGGAGAACTGGCGGTGACCTCGTACTTTGGCGCTTACCAGATCCGGGAGCATCAGCCGCAGGTGGCTGTGAGCAGCCTGAGAGAGCTGCCGTGCCCCGTGCTGCAGAGCAGGGAGCTGGGGGGCCAGCCGGACGCGTCCTGCGGGGCCCTGGAGCTCTTCGACTGGCTTGGTGCTGTCTGCTGTGATGCCAGCCTGTGCGTATGCCGCCCTCCAACCTGGGTCTCAGGGGGCATGCCTGCTAAGCCTCGAGTACCTTGGAGGTGAGCCTGTGGCGGTGGACCTCAGGGGACATCTTTGTTGTTGACAGAACTAACGAGCCCAGCGACTTCGTGTCCACCTGTTGCTGTCCTCAGCCCAGCACGGTGTTGGCCCGAGCCTGTCTTTGCACCATCACCGGCTTCCTAATTCCGGAGAAGGTCGGGCTCCTGCTGGAACGGCTACGGTAAGCGCGCTCTGCCTTTCCCTGCGTCTCGCTTCTCGGCACCCCGTGACCTCGCGCGTCCGAGACCTTCGTGGCTTGCTTAGGCTCACTGCATAGCAGCATCGTCTGCGATGGCGTGAAGGAGGGGAGTACTTCAGAAGTGAGAGCAAAAATGTTGGCCCTCACTCAGTCCGGATCCTAGCTGGGAGTTCTGTGCCGCCCTGTGTCCCCCGTGGGCAGTGGGGAGTCGCATGGCGCTGGGCCTCATCGGGGACCCTCAGATCCCACGATGCAGACGGGCGGCAGAGCGGGGCCTGTGTCTTGGTCACGCAGCCCTCGGTCTTTCAGATGTCAGAGTGGAGTCTGGACGGCTTTCATCGTGGCGACATCCGACGTGTCACACTGAATACGTTTTTCTTGAAAACAGGAGCGAGCATTCGGAGCGGGCCTGAGAGCTCTTTCTTTTCCAGGCACTACTTCGACGAGCCGAAGCTGGCCCCGTGGCTGACGCTCTCGGTTCAAGGCTTCGCAGACAGCCCTGTGTCGTGGCGAGAGAGGGAGCACGGCTTCCAGAAAGGGGGCGAGCATCTGTACAGCTTTGTGGTTTTTAGTAACCAGGACTATTGGCTTCAGATGGCTGTGGGCGCCGAGGACGACTGTCCGCCCTGAAGCTGTGCAGCCGGTTCAGCTGCCACTCGCAGTGCCGGTGACCCACACGGGAGCCCCGGTTCGAGGCCTGGATGCCATGCTTCTGCTCCAGCGGCCTGCCCAGCAGGCAGCGAAGCTGGACGGGCTTCTTGGGTCCTGGCTGCGGCCTGGCCCAGCCTGGCACGGGTGACCGTTTGGGGAGTGAGCCAGCAGGTGGGTTGATGTCTGTCTGTCTCTGCCAGTCGGCCTTTCAAGTACCTAATAAATTCCCTTTTTTAAATACTGAATATGCCCTGTTTGTTTATCTTGGTGCCTGTGGAGGGCTGTGTGTTCGCCCTGCCTTGCCCATCGGCAGGGGGCTGGTCTGTGATGGCGGCCAGCCTGGCCTGTCAGGCACGGTAGAGGAGGCCAGGACGGCCAGGCGCTCAGGGGGTTGGGTCACTGTGTTGACACAGCCCTACTTGGTCAGGTACCTGAGGGGTGCTCTGTGCGCGCTCCAGGTGCTGGGCCTGCCCTTGCTGTGGGTAGGGAGTCCTCACTGCAGCCACATGAGGGTGCTGACAGGCCACCCTGCTGGGGCCGGACCAGGGAGGCCCATGCCACTGGCAGGTGTGGGCAAGTAAGGGGAATTTTACATTAAATGCAGCCGATAGGGTTCACTTTTATTTATCTTAAAATAGTTTAACCTTTATGCTACAGACTTATTTCAAAAAACAGATATTATCTTACACCTATATACACACATATATGTAAAAAACATGGTTTTATTATTATTTTTTCTCTCCAAAGACCATTAAGTATTAAGTGGAAGAAAAAAAAAACTTAATGAATGTAAAGAGGGCCTGGAGCAGTAGCCTAATGGCAAAAGTCTTCACCTTGCCAGGATCCCGTATGGGTGCCAGTTCTAATCCAGCTCCCTGCCTGTGGCCAGGGAAAGCAGTCGAGGACGGCCCAAAGCCTTGGGATCCTGCACCCGCGTGGGAGACCCAGAAGAAGGCTCCTGGCTCCTGGCTTTGGATCAGCTCAGCTCCGGCCATTGTGGTCACTTGAGGAGTGAATCAGCGGACGGAAGATCCTCCTCTCTGTATATCTGACTTTCCAATAAAAATAAATAAATCTTTAAAAAATAATAATGTAAAGAACCGATTTTCATATTAAAAACTCAAGTTACGCGTTTGAAAATGTTAATTCTAAGCGGTGACTTGTCACTGTTTTAAAGTGTGTTGATAAGCCGTACAAAAGCCGGACCGGACTGAACTCGGGTGAAGGTGAGTGAACGGTGGGCCAGAGTGTCGGGCCTGCCGGCCGGAGCCACATGATGGGAGCCTTCGTAACTAGGAGACCGCTCCGGCCTCCAAAGCGTAGAGTACAAGTCAGTCTGCTGAGTGCCCTGCAGTCGGGGGCACCAGCACGGGCTCTGCCTTTGTGCTTCGGAGCGTGCTGCGTATATAGTTTTCTTCTTGCGAATGTCAGTGGCAGCTGGGTTGATCCCATTCCTTGGCTATCTGCAGTAAACACGGCTGTGGATCTGTTTTGAGTGTTTTGAGGAAATTGCATACTGTTCTTGTTGTGTGTATTCATTACATTTTTGTCAGAAGTGTGTAAGCGTTCCCCTTTCTACACTTGCGGTGTTGTGGGGTTTTGTTTGTGTTTTGCCTGCCTTGGTGATGCCCATTCTAACCGGGCTAAGGAGAGTCTCCTTGGAGTCTTGATCTGCATTCCCGGGGGATGAGCGTTCGTGTGCGTCGTGTACACCTGCTGGCCTTCTGATGGCCTCTTGGGGAGATGTCTGTTCAGATCAGTTGCCCATTTTGAAATGCCACTTCCGTTGTTTTCCCTCTTCAGTTGTGCAGTTGCAGTGGGTGTTGGTCCCTTGTCGGATGGCTAGTTGGAGTAGGTTCTCTTCTCTCTTGTTGCTCTCGCATCCCAGGCGTCAGCCCCTGCACGCATCCTGGAGCGTGTCCTGTGTGGTCTCCTGTATCAGCCTCATAGTCGGGGTCCTTTCTCCGGTTTATGTTCCTGCTGCTGCTGTCAGAAGTCGGTCTTGTGTAGCCAAGCGAGTCCCCTTGCAGGTGCTCTGTCCTGTGTCTGTCCTGTGACAGAGCCTTGCTGCGTTGCTGGCTGTGGTTTTGTAGACGCTGCAGGTCAGGCATCGTGCTGCCTTCAGCCGCGCTGTGGAGAGCTGCCTGCTCCCCTGGCTCGGCTGGGCTGCCGTGGCGTCTGGGGGAGTCATCTCCCTTCTTCTTTGAAGAATGTCGTCAGTATTTTGGCAGGGTTTCGACTGAATCTCTAAGTGGCTTTTCGTAGTGTGGACATTTAGCCATGTTAATTCTTCTAATCCTTAAGGATTTTTGGGTGTCCTCTTCAATTGCTTGCATTGGTGTTTTACAATCATTTTTGTGGATATCATTCATTTGGGTTGGATACATTTATTACTAAATATTTTATTTAGTTATTCGTAGCTGTAGTGAACAGGGTTACTTTCTTTGATTTGTCCCTCAGCAGTTTTGTTACTGGTGTCTGTAAAAGCTGCTGCCTCTTACATGTTGAGTTTACATTCTGTAGCTTAACTGGATTCATGTAGGAACTTCTGAAAGGACATTTGTCTTGAAAGGCACGTGCGATCACACCGAGGAAGGTGTCCGCACCGGCTCGTTCACGTGGGGCCGCTTGCCTCCTCCCGTGCCGTGTGGCTCCAAGCCCCCAGCACAGAGCCGAGCGAGAGTGTGGCGGGCATGGCCTTGTTCCTCATCCTGGCGTGGAAGATTCCAGCTTTGCCTTCATCCCTGGGACGCTGGCTTCGGCTCTGTTGGAGACGCCCTTCGTCATTTGAGGACGTGCCTTCTGAGGACGACCTGTAATAGCCTGGTCACGGAGGATAGAATGATAGAAATGGGGTGCGGGTTAGCGGTGCCCTAGGGTTAGGGGTACAGAGTGGTGGGAGGGGCTGAGAAGAGAGTTGTGGTCCAGCCCTCCAGGATGCTGCTAAAAAGACACAGAAGGCTGTGGCTGGGCAGGACGTGGGGGAGCCCATGGCAGGCTTCCCCGAGTCCCCCTGCCCAACCCCATAAATCTACTCTCCCTTTCCCCTCCACGGGGAATTCCTCTTGTCCCACAGCCCCTCTGCGGTTAACACGAGCATGTGCGATGCTCTTGTTAGGACTGCTGACGCCCCAGGGACATGCAGTGTTTGTGCTTGGTTTGGACAGCCTTCCTCTGTCCCTGCTATGTCCCCTTGCCGCCCCAGAAAGCCTTCCAAGGAGACACACTCCCTTCAGTCCGCCTGGCTCTCTTGTCTCCTCTGGGTTGTGGTGGTTTCTCAGACTGTCCTTGTCGTGGGTGAGTGGCCTTGATGGTTGCGAAGCTCATTGCTCAGGTGCACTCTGGGACGGCTCGGACGCTTTGCTCCACGTTAGGCATGCGTAAGGCATGTCGGGAAGAAGACCACGGCAGTGGAACTCGGCCGTCCCCGGGTATGTCGCAGCGTGCACTGTCAGCAGGACTGATGACCCCGATGCTGGGCTTGGTTATGGGGTTGTGACGGTTTCTCTAAGTTTATTCATTTTTCCCAGACTGTCCTCTTTGGAAAGAAGTCGGATGTGCGGGCCACACTTAGTAAGGAGTTAATGCTTTGGCTTCTTTGGGAGGATAGACAGTTCTTTGCGGTTGTGTGGGGTTCGGGGGGACAGTGTCCTCTCCCCTACTCACTCACTTATTCAGTATTGGGTTTACACGGTATGAATGCATGGGCATTGATTTTATGACCCAGTGCTGCTCTCTGTATTCTGATGCCCACCCTTCCAGCTCTGCTCATCTCTGTGCACTCATGTGGTGTGCGTGGGGGACAGGATGATGGCCATGTTGGCGACTGCCCTGCTTCCTGGCGTGACCGGAAGCTCCAGGCTCCCCTTCCACACTTCCTCCCTTAACACTACACTCAGCTGTGTTTGGGGAGCCCTGGTTCAACACCCCTGTGAGGGGACGCACCGTGCCCATTGGTGCTGAGATCAGCTAACACTTTTTTTTGCGGCTGTATTGTTGGTGCTCCACGCTCTCAGCTCAACTCGCCACTCCAAGCAAGCCATCGTCGCACTTCTCTGGTACCTGACTTGCCTCCATGTGTCACACACTGGGTCTCCTGTGGGCTGGCATTCCTTCCTCTCCGCCCCGTCTTTGTGATTCTCCCTGGATTGAGGTCCCGAGAGTGGGTCGGCGTGTCCACCTGCAGACTGCTCAGGTTCCCAGCCGCTAGGCGCTCATGCCTCCCATGTGGTTGTAGACAGGAGTGTGACAGACTCCGTGCAGCTGACCACGATCCCAGGGCTGGTAAGGAGGCCGGAACCTCCCGGCACCCAGCGATGTGTGACATCACACACTGTACATTCCTCACGTGTCGGGCGATGCTGGTGTAAACCCACCTGCTGTGCAGCCTCCTGGGCCACGTCAGCAATGGCCGTCGTACTGGCTGATGTGCTGGCTGTACCATCCTTTCCACTGCTAATTTAGAGTGTAGATCTTCTGCTTATTAGAGAAGAGAGGGAGAGAGTTGAAGCCAGTGTGATGGTGTAGCAGGGCAAGTTGCCACCTGCCACACCGGCATCCCATTGGAGCTCCGACTCAGGGGCAGGCCGCTCTCTGGTCCAGCTCCCTGCTCCTGGCCTGGCACAGAGGGGAGGATGGCCCCCACCCCCGTGTTTCACATGTGCTGGTTGGGTGCTCTGGCCCAGTCTGGCACAGCCCCCTATCCCCGGCATTTGCCAGTGGGTGCTGTAGCCTGGCCAGGCCAGGCCAGGCCCACCCCCAATTCTAATTCACGCTGGTAAGGGCTACAGTCTAGCCCAGCCCTGCCAGCCCCCCAGTCCCGGCCCTCATGTGGACTGGCTGGTATTGTGCCCTGATCCCGCCGAACCCACACTCCATCCTGGCACTCAGAATTGACAGTTGGTAATATGGACTGACCCAGTCTGGCCTGCCCCCGACCTGCACCAAATGTATGCCAGTGGGCACAGTTTCCTGGCCTGGTCTGGGCTGCTCCCTGTGTTGGTTCTTGCACTCACCTGCAGGGAGCATGTCCCGACAGAGGAGATGCCCAGGCTCCTCCATCAGGTTCTCTCCCAATGCCAGATCTCACGCACACCGGTGGGTCCATGGGCCAGCCCTACTTAGTCCACCTCCTGCCCTAGCAGGAACAGTGGCCTTTCCTGACTGGCCCTCACCTATTCCGGGCCAAGCCTGATCCATACCCAGACAACACTCACCCATGGCTCAGTGGGGGCAGAGACCTGGCCCAGCTTGTCCTATACCTACCCTGATTCTCACGAATACCAGTGGGTGCTGGAGTCTAGCCCAGTCTGACGCATCCCAGACAAAGCCCACCCACATGCCGAGGGATCCTACAGCCTTGTCCAGACCAGACCTCAGCCCCGACCCTGGCCCTCATGCTCTACAATGGAATCACAACCCGGCCAGGGCATCCCCTTTGCTCCCCAGCCAGGCCTGCTCCCCTCCACAGATTTCATGTGTGCCAGTGGTTGCTCTGATCTGGGCTGGCATAGCCCCCATCTGTCTTAGCCTTCACCTTTGGATGCTGTAGCCTGGCCTGACCTAGCCAGCCCCCAGTCCCAACTCTCGGAGGCAGGTGCTGCAAGCTGGACTTGCTCAGTCTGCTCCCATCCTGGCTCATGTTAGCCAGTAGATGCGATACCCTAGCCTGGCATGACCTGCATTCCAGCCTGGTTTCTGCATTTGCCAGTGGGCTAGGATCTGCTCGGCCCTGCCCAATCTGCCCACTTCCAAAAACAACCCACACACTTGCCAACGGATAGGGCTAACTTGTCCAGCTTGCCTGATCCCTAGGTCTGGAACATATGCTCACCAGTGGAAGCTATGGCACAGTAGGGGAGTCTCCCCGTTTCCCCACTCAGCCCACTCCTAGGCCCAAATCTCACATGCTCCAGCTAGGCCTTTGCCCAGCACAGGCTGCCCGTCCATCTTGACCTTTGTATGAGCTGGAGGATGTTGCAGACCGGCCCACCCCACACCCTGTTTTAGGATGCACATGCAGGTGCTGCAGCTTGGTCCTGCCCAGCCTAGTCTCGGCCCCAGTACCTATGAGTGTTGGCGGGTTCCATGTTCACACCTGGTTCAGCTAGTTACCACCCCAACTCTTTTTTAAAAAAGATTCATTTTATTTTTATGGCAAAGTCAGATACACAGAGAGGAGGAGAGAGAGAGAGAGGAAGATCTTCCATCTGATGATTCACTCCCCAAGTGAGCGCAATGGCTGGAGCTGAGCCAATGCCAGGAGCCTCTTCTGGGTCTCCTGTGCGGGTACAGGGTCCCAAAGCTTTGGGCCGTCCTCAACTGCTTTCCCAGGCCACAAGCAGGGAACTGGATGGGAAGCAGGGCTGCCGGGATTAGAACCGATGCCCATATGGGATCCTGGCATTGTCAAGGTGAGGACTTCATCCACTAGGCCACCATGCCGGGCCCGCCAAACCTTTTTCATGTGAAACCGTCCCTCTTAGCTGATAACTCCTTTTTGCTTTTGTTGCTTGCTCTTTTCAAATCCTATCCACTCAAGTCAACGTCCCGGAGCCTTTTCCTGGTTCTTTCTGGCAATTTTAGAGTGTCAGTCCTTACGCTTCAGTCTCTAAGTCATTCTGAGTTGGTGTCTTTGGTAAGGTGGGAGATGGGCTCTGATTCTTCCTGTTGTATGTTGATACCCCGATTTTTCCAGGAGCTTTTACTGAAGAGGCAGTCCACCTTTCGTTGCGTGTTTTTAGCATTTTTACTGAAAGTGAATGGCTCATAACTGCATGAGTTCATTCCTGTCCCATTGACTTAACGGGTCTTTTCATGCCAGTACCATGCTGTTTTGATCATTATAGTTTTACAGTAGAGTTTGAAATCAGCTTTGTTCTCGGTGCAACATTGATTGGATTATCGAGAGTCTTTTGTGATCCCATGCAAAATTTAGAGTTATTTCATCTATTTCTGTGGGAGAAAAAATCTTTAGCAGTTTGATAGCAGTTGTGTTAAATTTGCAAATCATTTTGGGTAGCATGAACATTTTCACAATATTGGTTCCTCCATTCCACAGACAAGAGATGGTGTTTCTTCTGCTAGCATCTTCCTCAATTTTTTGCATCTTATTTTATGGTTTTCAGTGTTACAGTAATTTTCCATCTGTGCTTAAACTGGTTCCATATGCGCATATGGGATCCTGGGGCGAGAGAGAGATTTTCTTGTGTTGAGTCACTCCCCACATGGCCTGCAAGTGCTAGGGCTGGGCTCCAGGTCTCCACAGGAGTGCAGGGGCCATTCTGCCACCGCTTTCTCAGGCCATCAGCAGGGAGCAGGATCTGGAAGGGAGCAGCCGGGGCCCAAGCCAGCGTCCTTAGGGGCTGCTGGCATTGCAGGGGGGACTTTACCTGCTGTACCCTCAGTTAATAGTTTTTAACACGTGCACCTTTGTCCCCGAGGGTTAGTTGAGGTGACCTGCTCCCTGCTCTGGGGTCTGACCAGGAGCCCACAACTTACATAAAAACACTTGGGCAGGTCTGCCCGGAATGGTGTCGCCAGCGGGGAAAGCATGAACCTTGGTATTCAATCCCTATCCAAATCTGTTCTGTCAAAGACCTGGCACCTGCAGCCGTCTGTCTGCCCACCTGAGAGGCATGGCAGACGTTCCTGGGCAGGGAGCCCAAGCCACACCCTGCCCAACCCGGGCTGCCAGAGCCCAAAGCCTTCAGGGGCTCAGGGACACGGGATCCGGTTACTGTGGCCAGGACAGTGTACAAATAGAGCTGAACAGAGCCTGCTCAAAGTGCTGGCTCTGGGGCCAGAGCGTGCTCAGGCCCAGCCTGGAAGGGCAGGGGCTGTGTGGGCATGGGCTGGGAGCAGGGGTCTCCAGGAGGGCAGGGGTCTCCAGGAGGGCAGGGGGTCTCCAGGAGGGCGGGGGTCTCCAGGAGGGCAGGGTGTCTCCAGGAGGGCGGGGGTCTCTAGGAGGGCAGGGGTCTCCAGGAGGGCGGGGGTCTCCAGGAAGGCGGGGGTCTCCAGGAGGGCGGGGGCCAGCCCTGGCATGGCACTGTCTAGTTGCTTTCTGCTCTCCGTCTCTCAGGCCACCGTTGGCAGCCTTTCTTGTGTTCCTGCCAAACCCCAGGCAGCCGACGGTGCTGAATGAGCTGCGGTTTGCAAAGCCCTTCCATTTTGCAGTGGTTGCCTCCATTCACAATTTTTCTGGAGCCTTGCTGCTGTCCCCCACCCCTTCTCCATTTGATTCCCCCCCCCCAAGACTTCCAAGGCACCAGGACTGAGGGCTTCTCCACATTGGAGGGACACCCCAGGCACAAAGGGACCGTTGACAGACAGTCTCTCTGGCATCATGTCTCAGTGGTTAAATCCTCACCTTGCACACACTGGGATCCATTATGGGTGCCGATTTGTGTCCCAGCTGCTCCACTTCCCAGCCAGCTCCCTGACTGTGACTTGGGAAAGCAGTAGAGAATGGCTCAACACCTTACGACCCTGCTCCCACATAGGAGACCTGGAGATGCTCCTGGCTCCTGGCTTTTAGATCAGCTCAGCTCCGGCTGCCGTGACCACTTGGGAAATAAACCAACACAATGAAGATCTTTCTCCTTCTATCTGTAAATCTGATCTGCTTTTCAATAAAAATTAGTAAATCTTAATAAAGCGAAGGCTGGAGTGTCCCTGCCCCCCCAACCCCACCGGTGAGAGCACCCCTCCTGGCACCTGGGTTTATCTGTCTCCCATGCCCCATGCAAGATGGTGTCTTTGAAGGCCAAATGCATTTACGTGCAAGGTGTAAACTCCTTCCACCTCCCGCGCCTGGCACACTACAGGGGCTCACACACGTCCGCGTGGTGTTGGACTGCTCATGGAAGATGGTCCCACTAAACCACGTTCACACCATTGCCGAGGCAGGTGTCACACAGGTGTGTAACACAAGATGCACCAGTGCGTGCTTTCACACACACACACACACACACACACACACACACACTCTGTCTCTTCCCCCGCCACCAGCGACGGAATGATCAGAGGCCCACTGCAAATGTGTTAAGAAATATTAGTTTTATTTAACCAGTTTTTTCACAGCTGAATATTCATTCTATAAAAACTTTACAGATTGTACAGTTTATATATAGTCCAAATTACTCAACGAAAAAGTAGGTCCCACAGATGCAAAAATACTGGACCAGTCCAAGGCAGGGAGATTTACACACTGTACAGCTCTCCGCGTGGCTGGGAGGTGGTCAGTTCTAAGTATAAACCGCAAAACTGTACAAAAATAAGGTTTCTGATTTGATTTCATTCTTCATACATTCAATAAGGACTGCAGGCTGTGCCCTGGGGCGCCTGGCGCCGGGCACCTGGCCCTCCACCCCTGGTGGGGACACGCGTGGGCAAGGCGCTCGTGGGCGCCACGCTGCACGGTGTGGAATCGCACACAAGAAGGGCAGAGACCATTACAGGAACTGCTGCCCGGAAGGTAGTTGCTTTTTGTTTCGAAAGGAGTTCTTGCATTTAATAGTGTGCCAAAGAATTTTAACTTATTAAATAAAATATATTCTAAGTGAACCTAAAAATTACACTTTATAAACATAAAAATACTTTTTTTTTGGTGTAATACATCAACCATAGCTGCAAATAGAAATCCCAGGAACGGTATATAAAGTAGTATTTCTCAACCCAGCAACAAGAAGCACTTACGTAGTTATTTATTTCAAGAAGGGGGTCAGAAAAACTATTTAAAAACCCCAAGAAGGCTAACTCGGAACTCTGGCATACTTGGGGGCGGACCAGTTGTTGGCTAACACAGCTTCCTGCCTGGCAGACAGCAGCCCCCTCTGCTCTCCGGGCGGGAAGTGCCCGGCTGGCACAGGGGCCCACACCGGGAGGGCTCTGCGCCCTGGACCGCAGGCTGCTGTGCGCTCACCCCGGGGCGGGCGCGGGTGATCACTCCCCTTCAAGGCTGTGTCCTACAAGGAGAACATTCTTCTGTCACCCCAAATAAAACAGACATTTTCGCTTTTTTACATACAATACCAGCCACGGAGAAGCAGCCCAAGCTCCCCAAGGGGCGGCCGGCACGCGGGCTCTTCCAGCGCATAGGTGAGTTACAAAGAGTGACGGCGGACAGAGGACTTTGTAGTTATTTATTTTCAAGTTACAGTACTTTAAAAACTCCTCGATAATAAATAGCTTGGACGTCTTGCAGCCTGTTTCCAGAGCAGGCGCCGGGACAGGAGGCCGGGGCGCCCGTCAGAACTCATCGATCTTCCTCTGCAGGTACTTCAACATGGAGTCCATGCCCTGGGCCGAGCCCCAGATCCTGCGCAGCACCTCGCACTCGCGCTCGTTGGCCTGCTCCAGCTCCACCTTCATGTTACAGCGCACCAGTGCCTTGGACTCCTCCAGCACCTGCTGAGCAGAGGCACGTGTCAGCAAGAGTGGACTGTGTGTGTGTGTGTGTGAGAGCGAGTACTGGCCTGGCAGACACGCACATACCAGCAAGAGGGGGCATGTGTGTGTGTGGCCTGGCCGCCAGCCTGTTGTTTCAACACATCACAGACCTAGAACAAGGCGCACTGGCTCTGCATCCACAGGCTCAGACCTGTGCAATGTTCAACCGACCGTAAGTAGACAACGCTCAGCAAAGGGGCGGTACCTGCCTGTCATGCAGGCGTGTTGAGTCCCAGCTGCTCCACTTCCCATGAAGCTCCCTGCTAATGTGCCTGGGGGAGCAGCAGATGGCTCAAGTCCTGGGGCCCCTGCACCCATGTGGGAGACCTGCAGGAAGCTCCTGGCTCCTGGCTTTGGACTAGCCCAGCTCAAGCTACTGAGGCCACGTGAAGATGAACCAGTGGATGGAAGGTCTTTTGTCTCTCCCTCCCTCCAACTCTTTCAAATCAATTAGTGGTTGGGCTAGTTTGGACACTGAGTCAATCCACTGCAATATTTTCTCCTACAGCTGGTTAGCAGGGACTATGCTGGAAAACAGCATGGCCTGGCATGTTCAACAGAATCCTCACTCTCCTGCCGTCGCACCACGTGCGGCTACACTGCTGATGGCCGTGGGTTTCTCTGGGGCCTTGGCAAGGACTCCGGTCTAGACTGGCGTGCCAAGCGACAGCCCAGAGAGCAGACCTGAAGCCATGGCACTGACCACAGCCTCTGTTCGTATCAGACACAGTCGGCCCTGCCAAGTGCAAACCCACAGGACTTGGGCAACCCTGTCCCATGTGAGCTGCCTGGAGGGAATGCCCGAACGCAGTAACATCAGTGCTACCCGTAAGAGAAGACAGGACGTACAACTGGATTGCACGAGGCAAGCTCCTTAATCCGAACCATGACTTCCTGGGTGAAGGTCCCCGGCCAAAACACCTGTGAGACCAGGCCTTTGCCACACGCCTCCTGCGCGGTCAGCTTCCGCCCACTGAGCAGCATCTCATTCGCCTGGAAGGGAGCAGAGTGGCAGTGACGTGAAAAACGGGGTGGGTGGGGAGACCCACCCCGAAAACCCAAACCCGGCACAGCATGGCCGCACCCAGATGGACTCTGGCACAGCCCCTGGGGGACAAACCGCAGGAGGGAAATAACACTGCACACTGGGCATGTTTTCTGTTTAAGAAAAAAATCAGTGCTAAGAGGCTTCCTCATGTCCTAACACATCCCAATTATAACAGGCCTCTCTGTCACTGCCATGACGTGCTGTCCACCTCTCCCGTGGCCTGCGTCCCTCTCCTGACGCCAGCCTTTTCCACACAGGAACTTCCTCCAGATGCAAACCCACGCCGGGGGAAATGAAGCAGGGCAGGCAGGGCCAGGGAAGGTGGGCTTCCGAGGCTGCTGTCTCCAGCCTTTGCTGTGGGTTCCTGGGAGGGCAGGACACCTCCTCCAGGGCCCGGGCCAGGACGCCTCCTCCAGGGCCCTGGTCAGTCCGCAGCTTAGAGCCTGCGGACACTGTAACTGCAGGTCCTCTGCTCCCTCTCCAGGCAGCGTCCAGGCCAAGGGCCCCAGGTGTCTGAGCCGTGTCGAGTGTCTAGTGTGTCTCACACCTCCCAGACCGGCACCGAGTGTCTACACTGACGCCACGGCCCTGCAGCTGACACGGCAGCGGTGAGGACAGATGCCCGGAGCAGTCACTCCCAGGGAGCACCACGCAGGCTCTGCTGCAGGAGCCAATGGGAACCGTCAGGGAACTGTGCCCACCAGGGCAGCTGCTCCTAGGGTCACTGAACAGGCACACCGCCTCTCTCCAGGGCCGCACTGCATCTCCTGGAGGCAGCACATGTGGTAAACAGGTCAGCGCCCTGATTCACTTCAGACATTCAGAACGCCCGGCTGCTGTGGCCCCCAGGAAAGTCAAACAGGGGTCTCTCCTGTAACGCCCCCTTTCAAACAAACCAGCCAGCCCCTCAGCCTGCAGGGCTCTGCTCCCCTCGCCCTCTCCTCAAAAGGGCAGCTTTTACAAGAAGACGAGCTCTGGGGGAACCCTTGCTATCTGGGCTCCGGTCTGCATCTGTGCTAAGAGTGGGTGCTGGCACTCATCACTTTGAGTGGGGGTGTCCTGGGGGTGCAGGCTTCCAGAAGGACCCTGCTGTGGGCACAGGTACTCACGGAGGCGCCTCCCATGATCTTGGGGAACATGACGGTGGAGCAGCCGTCGGGGCTCTGCCCGAAGGTGGTGTAGGGGGTCTGGAACCAGGCCTTCTCGTTGGCCCATACCACGTCACAGAGGGGCAGGATGGAGGCGCCCAGCCCGATGGCCGGGCCGTTCACTGCTACAATGATAGGCTTCTTGAACTGAATGAATGTGTTCACAAAGTTCCTGAAAGGAAAAACACAAAGAAAGTAACAATCAACGGGGGTCACTGCGCACTGGGAGCACCTGAGCAGGGGGAGGAAAGCTGTGATTTTTAGTCACGTTATTATATGTAACCCATGTTGCAGTATTCTGCACTACCGCAACCGGGCATCTGTCATCTATGATGGGAACAGTCACCCGCTGAGCCGTGTTGTGGAGATGAGCTTTGGCCTTTGCGCAGGCCTTCTCTCACACTCTGGGGACTGTGGATTTTTTACTGCACACTGGACAGGGCTGGGCGCTGTTAAGGGAACCCCAGTTGGATGGGGCTTTGCATCTGTAGGTGACTGGGGCTCTCTCACCCTCGTATCCTGCCTTCTTTGTTCCCTGGGAGGCAGGGAGAGCCTAACACGCAGTAGGGTGCACCGCCACGCAGTGCCAAGGGATGCCCTCTCCACAGCATGCTGAGCACACGCCTGGGGTGCCCAGGGCCAGGGCTGCAGACAGCACCTCGGGTATTTGGAATCGGCATGAACTAAAGCAGACGGACTGGGCTGCTGGGCTCAGCTCGAGCCACGGGGTCAAGGGGCACGCAGAGCATGGCATGCACCTGTGCGCCAAGTATGTCCCACTCCACGCAGCGGGCACAGTAACCAGGGCTGTGCTATGCTGGCGCCGATGGAGGACCAGGCTGGGGGGCAAGGGGTGTCCAGCCATCCTGGGGGTAGGCATCTTCTTTCCAATACCGGAAACAAACTTTGCGCTCTGAGGTTGTTTCTGGTTGAGAGTGGATACAGCAGCGAGAATAAACACCCAGCCAGTTCAGCTAGACGCTCGCCGCGGTTCTTCAGTGGAAGAGCTTGAGTGCTTCCTTGCACCCACACGCTGGCCCGGGCAGGTGTACAGGTGAACAGGTGGCGGGGAGCAGATGCAAGTGGCTCTGGCTGCACACCTCCCCCTCCCCCAAGGTCTGCGGCAGCCTCACACTGAGCAAGAATGAAGGCACTGGAAAGAGTGAGTTGCTGAAGAAACCTCAGGCACTGACGACCGCACGGAGCCCAGCTGGCCTTCCTAGCAGGCTCTTCAGGCCGGGGCACGAAGCGGCTTCAGCTCCGGGGCCGGTCCAAGATGTGGGGCAAAGGCCCGGCTGCGAAGATTTCCCAGGCTCACGCTGCTGATGCTCTTTGAAGGCTAACCCTACACTGTCCCCGGGACCAGAGAAGCCTCATGCCAGCCAGGGCCTGCGTGGGGAGACCCAGGGGAGCTGCACTTCCACCTGCTCATGCCCCAGTGCTGACACCTGGAAACCAGGAACCGTGTCTGGTTGAAGGGAAAGGGCAGTCCAGATGAGAGAAGGCCTCAAGCTGGTGAAGCCACGCCTTTCAGAGGGCGCACCTGGGAGGGGTCACGCCACCAAGACGGGGTGCTCTGTAACCCCATCACAGCTCCATCCTTTGCTTCTGTGGCCCACTCTTCCTGAACACTACCCACATGAGAAACCTGGAAGAGGCTCCTGGCTTGGGATCTGCTCAGCTCTGGCCATTGTGGCCACTTGGGGAGTAAACGAGATGGAAGACTGTTCTTTCTATAAGTCTGCCTTTCCAATAAAGAAAGAGGATGCTTTGACTTTGGAAGCAGTCCATGCAGGAGATTCCTGAACAGCCACTGCTGTAAACAGCACCCTGGTCTTAGCACGATCGCGCAGGATTCCGGCTGGGCAGAAAGACTCAGCAGTGAGCACTCGAGGTCATGGGAAGCCAGGACGCCGGGTGAGGGGTACCACCTCCACGAAGGGCCTAAGTGGTCCATGCCCACAGTGCCAAGAAGTGGTCATCACATGGAAGACCCCTTCTCTGAGGGACACAACCTGCTCATGGCCTTGTCTGAGGACGGAAGGAGCGTAAGGATTCAGGAGGCTTCGCCAGCTCCGCTGGCAGGTGCCCAGTTACCAGCAGGAGGAGGGCTAATCTGTCCACGAATGCCAGGAGTCACTGTGACCTGCCCTCCCAGGGGAGCTCTGCCCTCCACGAGGGGCACTGTGCACGTTAATGGCGATCCTGCTCTCACATGGACCTGGCTGTACCGAGCCAGCGGGAGGCTGTTCTCTCTCCCTGGTCTCGGCTGTGCCTGAATGTCCAACACCTTTGCTTGGACGAGATCTGTTACCACCCCTAGGTGGTTCCCCAGAGTTCTCCTAAGGCTAGGTCATGTGCTGCTAGCAAACACCAGGACAGACATGAGCTCAGACGATCTATTGGAAACAAAACACACAGTAGGTCCTCAAGTCTGCAGTCAGGGAAAGCCTGCATGTGCCGGACTTGCGGTGCCTCTGCCCACCAGGTTTTTTTTTCTTTAAAGATTTATTTCGTTTTATCATAAAATAAGATACACAGAGAGGAGAAGTAACAGAGAGGAAGATCTTCTGTCCGATGATTCACTCCCCAAGCGACTACAACGGCTGGAGCTGCACCAATCCAAAGCCAGGAGCTTCTTCCAGGTCTCTCACACAGGTGCTGGGTCCCAAGGCTTTGGGCCGTCCTCCACTGCTTTCCCAGGCAACAAGCAGGGAGCTGGTTGGGAAGCGGGGTCACAGGGATTAGAACCTGTGCCCATATGGGATCCTGGTGCATCCAAGGCAAGGACTTGAGCAGCTAGGCTACTGTACCAGGCCCATCCCCATCAGTTTTCTTAATGGGGGTCAGCATCCCATAAAACTGGAAGTTACGTTAGGACAGAAACCTTCTCCAGCATGGCCCCTTGGTTCCATGTCAGTCTCCCTGCCATGTCCCTGTTTGGGCTACTCTGAAATCCCAATAGAGAAGGGCTAGTGTCGTGGCCTTACAGGCTAATCTTCTATCTTGAAGCACTGGCATCCCATGTGGGTGCTGCTTTGTGTCCCAGCTGTTCCACTTTCCATCCAACTCCTTGCCTGTGGCCTGGGAAGGCGGAGGAGGTTGGCCCCAAAGCCTTTGGACCTGGCACCCATGTGGGAGACCTTGAAGAAACTCCTGACTCCTGGCTTCAGATCAGCTCGGCTCTGGCCATTGCAGCTATTTGGGGAGAAAACCAGCAGATGAAAAAGCTCTGTTTCTCTGTCCTTCTCTTTGTACTGCCAATCCAATCAAAAACAAACCTTCACAATAATAAAAATTAAAAAATGTTAAATGAAACCCAACGGAGATTACAGAATGGCTGTTACTGGGGCAGTCATTCCAGCTTTTCCACTTGCACCAGTTACCTACAGGGTGCTGCTTCTGCATCCATTAGACCCAGACCCTGAGAGACCGAGGACGCACTCTCCCCAACAAAAGTTTGGATTTCCAAATAAGCGGTAACCACGCGGAATGTATTCTGACACGGAGAGAGTGCTCTCCCCAGAGAGAAAAACGCTGCACGACGTGGACATGGAAAGAACACCAGCAAGGCCGTTTCGGGAATGGCGGGATTCTGTAGGTCACGGGTTCCAGGACTGGGCTGACGGCCAGACCCGAGGCTGGAGGGTCCGGACACAGAACCGCTTCACCGGACAGGAGGGCAACAGAAGCCGCGGCCCGGCAGGCGACAGATGAGGCGTTAAGACCCTCACACTAAGCTGAGCGTGAGCCATGCGGCGAGCTGAAGGCCCTGGCGGCATTACGGGGCGTCCCAGGCCGGGACATGAGGATAAACGCTTCCCCGAGTCCTCACGGATGACAAGTGTGTCTACTGAGAACCAGCCCCAGATCTCAAACATCTCCTTCAAAGGCCACAGGACTGGAAGAGTCTGCTTTTCCTCCTACCACCGCCGAGGCGTTCCACGGCAGACACGCCTTACGTACTCTGTCTTTTGATTCTGGAAGCTGCTACCAGGAGGAAGAGCTCCTTACTGAGTCCTTCTAGGTAATACTAGAAGATCCTGGTTTCTCACAGGTTTTAAGAACATGTTGCTGCTTTGGGTAACACAGCCTACACTTCAGCAAGTCCTCGGGTCTGGGCACTCCAATGTAGCTGTGGACAGCTGCCGCGCCTCCAACCCAACAGCATGCGCGGGGACGGATGGCAGCTGCCTCCTGCAGTCTAACAGCACGCTCACTGAGAAAGATGAAAAAATCTGGGCCCAGCACAGTAGCCTAGTGGTTAGAGTCCTCACCTGCACATGCTGGGATCCCATATGGGCGCCATTTCTACTCCGGCAGCCCCACTCCCCATCCAGCTCCCTGCTTGTGGCCTGGGAAAGCAGAGGAGGACAGCCCAAAGACTTGGGACCCATGTGAGAGACCCAGAAGAACCTCCTGGTTTTCTTTTGACTAGCTCAGCTCCAGCCGTGGTGGCTGCTTGGGGAGTGAACCATCAGACGGAAGATCTTCCTCTCTGTCTCTCCTTCTCTCTAAATCTGACCTTCCATTAAGAATAAATAAATCTTAACACACAAACAAACAACAAACCAAAACTTAACACAGAATGTCCACAAGGCATTACATTTTGCTTCCTCTGTTGGGTATGGCAGAGATGAGAAGGCCTTTGCCAGAGCTGTTTTGTGAAGACTCAGAGAGGAACTAAGACGCCCTCTGGGCCGAACACTGACTCATGTGTCTACGAGGGAAGCAGCTGGGGTTGAAGACCTGGGCTCTGATGCCAGCTGATGTCTTGCTCAGAGTTCTTGCTTCTTTCTGAACGCCTGCGACAGGAAGCAGTGGGCAGAGAAGAGGCTGGTGGGTCGGTTTCCTTACTTCCTGTTTCTCCCACGTGCTCTTCCAAGTCTTCATGCTATCCACTGACTCCTGCTGTCCTGTCTAAGCCTCCGGCACAGGGAGGATGCCACGGCAACCACTGCCCCCTGGGCCAGTCACAGAACTAGCCGCCAGGAGCACTTCTCAACCGGAAGCTTCACTTACTTCCTCCCCACCGCGCCCCTGGGAAATCTGTCCCACAAAGGGCCTTTGCCTCCAATGTTTAAGAAACTCAAGACAACAAAACAAAATAAAAAATACACCCAGGCAGAGCTTTTGCACCTAAGCCCAGTTCCCTTAAAGCAGGCACCGGCGGGGTTCCCTGGAGAACGGCAGTCCTGCCTTCTGCAGCGAGGAAGGAGGGCGGCAGGGGCATGGATGGGCTGCAAGCAGGCAGCAATGGAAACCGACTGAGTCACTGCATGCTCAGCTCACGCGGTCTCCGCCCCCACTCCCCTCCCGTATCACCAATCCCAACTCCTCCAACCTCAGTCACTGCAGCAGAGAGCCAGTGCTGGAGGGGGGGGGGACAGGCGGCCCCAGTGTGAGGCACCCCAAGATTTACACGTGAGGCTCAGGAGAGTGGAAGAAGGCACTTGACGACAAGTCCAATGTCCTTACAACAGGGTGCAAGGCCAGCGGGTGCACATGGGCACCCTGGGAGGCAGAGGTACTATCGGCCTCCTGGGGAACCAGTGGGGCACTGTGACTTGTCCCCGGCAGACAGGATGGCTAAGGGCCATGAAGGGGCTGCCCCGGGGACCACTGACAGGTCTTCCATGAGGGACAAGGTGGTAACAGCTCCTTACTTCTGGTTTAAAATTATTTAGGAGACTAGAGGTCACATTTGGTTAAGATATTATTTTAACATTCTCAACTCTCCGAAAAAACTACCTAAAGCCTGGCAATGTTCACAAATAACAAATATCCCAGGTCCAAGTGTAGTCACCATTTGATTTTAAAAGTGAACACATGTGTTCCAAAAGACCTAGGCCAGGCCCCCTTTGCCGCCCCTCCCGGGTGGGCTGCAGGACTCCTCTGGGCTGTCTGGGAGATGACCTGCTCCATCCCCGGCTGACCCAAGCACTCAGGCCCAACGTGGACGTCAGGACATTAGCGCACTGGACTCAGCTGGAAAGAGGCCGGGGACCCCAGAAGAGCTCAAGGCACCCGAGGGCTCGGAGACTCCTCAGCCCACTTCCCTGTGGTGCTGCCAGCCCGCAGTCCACAATGCCCCTCTTCTGTCACTAAAAGGCAGAGACCATGGGTTCCTGGGGGTCACAGGGATGTGCTTCTGGCAGAGATGTTGGGGAGCACCACTCTTTCTGGTTTCATCCACACTAAACCAAACTGACCTCTGAACTGTCAGCTACTGCAATCCCCTATACAGTGGAGAGCACGCCAGCCGAGGGGATCTGCTCAGGCAGGGGCAGCCGCTCGTGCGGGAGACAGCAGCAAAAAACAAGGGAGGAACGGGAGGGGCTCAAAGTCACAGATCCACGGAAAAGCGGGAGTTGCCAAGCAACACACAGGAACGCCACTATCTAGAGGAAGGAAAAACAGACCTATATGGTGTATCTAAGAAACACATATCACGTCATTACATAGCACGGCTCAAGCACTGTGGGGCCAGCGGCTTGGTGGCCAAAGCCCCCGCCCGCAACACCAGCACTCCACAGTGGTGCCTGTCTGTGTCCCGGCTGCCCCACTTCCAACCCAGCTCCTTGCTAGTGGCCTGGGAGAGCGGCAGAGGACGGATCCGGGCCCTGCCACCCACATGGAACACTTGAAGGAAGTTCTGGGCTCCAGCCTGGCCCAGCAGTGGCTGCTGTGGCCACCTGGGGAGCGAACCAGTGCTTGGAAGATCTTTCCCTCCCCCCTCTCCGTGACTCTTTCAGATAAACAAAGATTAAAAAAAAATATTAACAGCATACCATATATTTGAAAATTCACTAAGAGTAGAGCTGTTATGTGTTTTCATCAAACAAAAAATGAGTGCAAGCAAAGCACATGTTAACTACCTTGATACATAAACAGGGCGAATTTGAAACACTCATGGAAAACAGTGTGTTATCTTTAAATTTCATTTTCCCACAAACTTTTGAAGTCCCTTCACACAACTATTTCAGGACACTGAGTTGTATAACATATGTCTATGCAATTTTTATTTGGTGATTAAAAAGATAATATTTAAGAAATATAAAAAAAATGTTTCCAAGGAATGGAGAAGCATGCAGCTGGACATGGGCGCTTTGGGACAGATGGAGGAGGCAGCCTTGCCACTGTCCTGCGGCTCACCCAGCCGTGTGCAGCTGGCCATTCGGGCAATCAACAGCGAGCACTGCGTGTGCTTAAAGCAAACTGTCTTTCCCCGTGTATCACGGAGCCAGCTTGTGGGACAGCCTGGACAGTGCAGCGTCCAGCCGGGCCTAAGCTAAGGGTGAGCTGGGGCAGAAGGCACCCTTGCTGAAGCTCCGAGGAGGGAGTGCACGCCCCCACCAATACTGGAAACCCCGCACACTCCCGTCTAGGAATGTCCCTGAGCGGAGCCGGGCAAAGCCAGCCAGCCTGGGCACGGCTGATGTGCCCACGGCTCATTACGGCAGGCACACAGAATGGAGAGCTAACTCACTCGTGACCAGGGCCTCTCAGGGGAAGAGGAGGCACGTTTCATTGATTCAGTTCTCCTGGGGACTGGTGCACCGAACCGCCCCCAGCCCGGCTTACCTGATGGCTTCTGCCATCTTAGTGCTTTCTCGTTTTCGGTCATCTGTCAGGCGTCGGATAAAATAAATGAAGTCGAGGCCACAGCAGAAGACGCTGCCCACGGCGCTGAGCAGCACCAGCTTGCTGTCGTCGGCAGCCGCCGTGCCCAGGGCACTCTGGACCTCCTTCATCACCTGCAGGGCACCAGATGTTAAAGTGGCAGATGCCCGCAGGGCACAGGATCCTAAGGACACCTTCCATGGGGCACACGGGCTCTCAGAGCCACAGTCCCCTCCTAGACCCCCTTCATCACCTGCAGGGCACCAGATGTTAAAGTGGCAGACGCCCGCAGGGCACAGGATCCTAAGGACACCTGCCATGGGTCCCTTCCCAGTCCTGTGATTTTGAGTGAGGCTGCAGGAGGGGTGGGGTACAATTCGCCACACGTGAACTACTCTGGTGGATCTGCATCTCCCCAGTCTTCTGCCTGCTGCAGCTCCCAGCAGCTACTCCTTCACCTGTCACAGCCGCTGGTCTCCGCACTTGGGACAGCAGGTGGCTCTGTGACTGGGGAAAGGAACCTAAGTGGTGTGGGGTCTAAGAACATTCGGGAGAAGCAGCAGCTTGGAAAGCAAATGTGAGAAGGGCACGGGATCATTTGAAGTGACCTCTATAAGCACTTAAATAGAAGCGATAAAGGGACCCTGACTGGCACCGTGGGGCTTCCTGTATCCGCTGGCTATGGTGGGCTTTCTCCCCTGGAGAAGCCTCAGCTAGCAGGAGAAGATCACTAGAACTGTCTCCAGTTCACACACTCTCAGCTGGCTCCTGCCCAACCTTTGCAGGCCCCTGTCCCCGTACTGCGAGCTGATTAGCCAGCTACCATCTTGCTAGGAACATGTTGCACCACAACGCTGAAGCACACATTAAGACACGGCAGGCTGAGCAAGCAGCCTGGAGGCCTCTGCACGCATGCCCGCCCTTGCCCAGGCGCTTCCAGCTCCCAGTGCTGCAGAGCAGCGTGATGCCCAGCGGCAAGCAGAGGCGGGCACAGTGAGGGTTGAGTGGCAAGGCGCGCCCCACGTGGTCAGCTGAGTGGGCCTGGGCAAGGAGCGCCCCATGTGGTCAGCTGAGTGGGCCCGGCCCCAACGGGGAGGGGGAGGCGTGCCTCACCTCTGGGTTGAGAGAGTTGTTGTCAGAGGACTTCGTGGAGAGCAGGATGTGGGTGAAGCCGTCCTGCTTCCTGACGACGATGTCTCTGTACCGGTAGGCGCTCTCTGTCTGCCGCACGCTGAAACGCAGCCGCTTGTCGAAAGGCTGATCTCTCCTTTCATCCAGAAATTTCCTTTTCCCAGTGGTCACTCCTGTCACGGATGTCTGTATGTTGGCCGTCCCATTGGCTGTCAACACATCCATGAATGGAGAGGGACCTGCCAGGAGTCAGGAACCACAGCAGTGATGACAGCCTCCCGCTGCCCCTGGGCAGGGCTCCATCCTGCACCTCACAGCCCAGACAGAGGGACTGAGCAGGCCAGCCCTGGGGCGTCTTCTGTCCCTCAGTGACTCAGGAGGGTACCGGCTGCAAACACTAACAATGGAATGGGTGCTTGCTGGAAAGTGGCTATGCAATTCCAGTCTGCGGAGGCATGGGGCTCAGGTCACAAGGAGAGCAACAGCAAAGAGGTGCAAAGGGCAAAGGGAACAGATGTCCCATGGCCGGGGCTGAGTCTGCTGCAGGCCACCGGCCAGGTGAGAGTGGCCACGCGGCTCTGCCACGGTCCCCGGGGACCACTAGGGGTCCTCCGTGAAGGACACTGCCTTGCTGCCTCTGAGGATCTGTGCCCGATCCCACTCCCTCGTCACAGCTGAAGACAGCTCTGCCCCTGTGCCACTGTCTCCCTAACAGCACATGGGGCTGGCTTTCTCATCAGCCTCGAGATGCATTTTAAAAGCCACTGTGACAATGTCAAGGGTTTCGCTCCATGTGTAGTGGCACCAAGAGTTGTTGGGGCAAGAAGCCAAGGTTGAAGGCAGATGGCTGACCTCCTCTCCGTGTGAATGGGCTAAAGACCATCTGCCTTGGCAATACAGCAGGAATGAAGAGCGCAAGATGCTGGAATGCCAGAGGCTGGCACAAGGGAAGGGCATGAGAAAGCATGGGCTGGGAAAGACAACGTCGCCAGGAGGGACCTGTTGAGGAAGTCGGGTGTGCTCCTGGGCAAGACACTGTGACTTTCCCGACAGCAGAAACAACCCTGTCCACTGTCATCTCCAGAGCTTTCCCAGGGAATTCCGTTTGTGGAATGTTCAAGAGACATCTGTGAGACATGGAGAACCTGAGACTGTGAGGCTGCAGGGTACGTCATTAGAGTGCTGGCTGCTATGCCTGGGAGCGCAGCAGAGGACGCCCAGGCAGCTGGGACCCCCCCACCCCTGTGCAATCTGGATGCAGGTTCAGGCTTTGGCTTTGCCTTGGCCTAGCTACGGCTACTGCCATCATTCCGCAAGTGAACCAACACATCTGACATCTGTTTCTCTCTTTATATGTAACTGTATCTCTCAAACAAATCAGTAAACTTGAAAAAAAAAAAACAGCTGCAGAAAAGCAACGTTAAGAAAATAAAAAAGGAATTTAGAGCCTTAAAAAGACCCAGGTGATGCTGGCCCAGGACCCATGCACTGGCCTTTTTTTTTTTAAAGATTATTTTTATTGGAAAGGCAGATCAGATTCACAGAGAGGTTAGATAAACCTTCCATCCACTAGTTCATTCCCCAAATGGCTATGGCTGCAATGGCCAGAACCAAGCTGAGCTGAAGCCAGGAGCCATGAACCTCTCCCAGGTCTCCCACATGAATACAGGGTCCCAAGACCAGGAACCTCCTTCAGGTCTCCCATGAGGGTACAGAGTCCCAAGGCATTGGGCCATCCTCTACTGCTTTCCCAGGCCACAAGCAGGGAGCTGGATGGGAGGTGGGGCAGCCGGGACATGAATTGGTGCCCATATGGGATCTCAGCATTCCCAGGTGGGGATTTAGCCACTGAGCCATCCTGTCGGACCCACTCCTGCCCTTCCTGCCGAGCCATCCTGTCGGGCCCACACCTGCCCTCTTGCCGAGCCATCCCATCAGGCCCACACCTGCCCCTCTTACTGAGCCATCCTGTCGGGTTCACACCTGCCCTCTTGCTGAGCCATCCTGTCACATTCACACCTGCCCTCTTGCTGAGCCATCCTGTCGCGTTCACGCCTGCCCTCTTGTTGAGCCATCCTGTCACATTCACACCTGCCCTCTTGCTGAGCCATCGTGTCGGGCCCACACCTGCCCTCTTGCTGAGCCATCCTGTCGGGTTCACACCTGCCCTCTTGCTGAGCCATCGTGTCAGGCCCACACCTGCCCTCTTGCTGAGCCATCGTGTCGGGCCCACACCTGCCCTCTTGCTGAGCCATCCTGTCGGGCTCACACCTGCTCTTCTTGCTGAGAATGCTTGTCTTGGCAGGTGAGCAGTTAATGGGGCAGAAAAGCCCCCTGGATGCCCCCTTCTGAGGCTGGCTCTTTCCCACTGCCTTCTCACCTGACCTGGCTGGGATTCAGGCCTCCTCACATGCGTGGGGCAGCCCAGCTAAGGTGGGATGCAAGCACCCACCTCTCTTACTACATTTTTACTGATGGGGTTTGTTGCCTGTGCATGCTGAGCTCTGAGCCAGCACCCTCCCCGTTTGTCTCCCTGGTACTCGGCAAATATTCAATGCCCAGGCGAATGCAGTGGGGCACCTGCTGGCCCTTGTGCGCAGAGCGCCACGTCCAGAGAAGAGCCGTGAACACACTTATCACACTCCGAGCCGCTTACTGCCCTGAGTCAATCCAGGGACAGCGAGCTCTTTGCTTCTACGGAATCAATTGCTAATGGCTCTACCAGAGGCGAGTGCCAGACGCACATGGAAAACAGAAAACTTGGGATGGCTTTCAGAATCGACAACTTGTATGAAAACAGGGCAGCAAAACTGCCTCTCCGCAATCCAGGCCTTTCCACTACTGATTAGCGTCACATTCGACCAGAAAAATAACCTATCTTTATGTCTAACAACTGGTTTTCCTGGCTTGGGCTCAACAGCAAAGAAAATGTCCTGAAACATGCAGGGTTACTGCAATTATCATCACTGCTGCAAAAAGGCATGACGGTCGCTAGAAGGACTCGTGCTGTCTGCTTCCCACCGGCCACGGACGACTGGGAATTGAACAGCGCAGGAACCAGCTGCTATCAGACCCTGCAGGATGGCTGGTGGCCCCAGAGGGAAGGTCCACGGAGGAACTGGACCTCACAGCCACTGTCCTGCTGGGGGCAGTATCCACACTCTGCAGGTGGAGGGATCTCTCATGTCACCTGGCAGGCGTGGGCTCAGGAAGCAGCTGTGTGGGGACAGGGGTCCCTGGGATGCTTTGCTGAATCCTGATCTGAGTGTGTGCAGGCAGAGATGCCACTGGGCTGGGCAGTCCAGGGGTCTGTAAACTGGACCACCCCTGGAGTCACGCATCCAGGGAGCTGTGACCGGCTCGACGGGCACGCCTCCTCACCTGTGTGGGGCATATAGTCGTGACCCTGGAAGAGGCCCCTGTGGGCAGTGGAACTAATGTGGCTTTGGAATAAAGATGCCTGGGACTGCATTAGCAGAGCCTCACACTCAGCTCCAGCGAGGTGAGTTCTGGCTCAGTGGTCAGGAGGGTCTGGGTTCAACTCTCAGCTCTGCTGTCGCGTCCAGCTTCTTGCTAAGGAACCCTGTGGAAGACGGCAGGCGACGGCTTCAAGTTCTTGGGTCTGTGCTATCCACATGCGGGAACCGAGTTCCAGGCTCTTGGCTCCCAGCCCTGGAATGGCTGTCACAGGCATCGGAGGCTCAGACAACTCGAAATCGGTTCCTCTGCCCTACATATATATGCATATATGCTTCACCCTGCAGGGATCAGACTGCGAAGCAATGAACAGTTTTCTTAAGCACCACAAATCCAGCACTTTAAACGGTAAAGGCCACAGCATTAGGCAACCAACCAAAAATTACTAGACAGACAAAGGAAAAGGAAAAACAAGACTGTCAGCCAGTGCAGGCTCGTTAACAAATCAGTTAACAAAGCTACAACGGAGGGATTAACAGCAAAGACTATTTTCTGTTATACTACAACCGCAATGTGATTAGAGATTTACATGACGACATGAGTGTAATGGGGAAATGTGGATTACAAAGCAATCCTCACTGAGTACATGTGATGGGTGAGACACCACAAAAGAAAAGATCCTGGGAGGTGCTTGGCTCAGTAGCTCAGACACCTGCCTGCTCCACGGGAGTGTGTGCATACAAGTCACAGCTCCCGACCCCAGCCTCCTGCTAACGCAGGCCCTGGGAGGCAGCAGGCGGTGGCCCTAGTACCTGGGGTCACAGCTGCAGGCACTTGGGAACAAGGAGGAAAATGAGAATGTCAAATTTACGGCTCAATAAACAGCAGTTTAAACATTAAAAAAAATATCAAAGAGTATCTGAAGACACAGCAATAAGACAATTTCAGAATGCAGTGGGGAGAAGAGGCAGGGACGATGAGTGGCAGCTGTGAGTGCCGGGAGTTAGCCCCAAGCCATCTCTTGAGTCTTGGCAGGAGTGTGTATGTATGTATGTGTGTACAGGGGTGTGTATGTATGTGTGTAAAGCAGCTGCACGAGGAACGGCTAAGGTTTTCTGCATCAGGTGCACGCCAGAGCTTGCAAACCGAGGAGCTTGTTACCCAGCTCATCGGGAGAAGCACACAAACACCATTCTAGGCCCTGGCCCGCCACCTCTCTGCCAGTATGTGCCACGGATGTTCATGTGCCAGTTCTTCCAGCCCAGATCCAGTTCCCAGCTGATCATCCGGGAAGCGCAGCAGAAAACGGCCAAGTCCTTGGGCCCTGCTACTTACACGGGAAACCTGGATGGAACTCTTGCCTCATGGTCTCCGCGTGGCCTAGTACTGGCCGTTGTGGCCATCTGGGGCATGAACCAGTGGATGGAAGAGCTGTCCCTTCAAATAAATAGACAAAACCTTAAAAACAAAAACCCAAACGTCAAACTGAGGCATTACCGTGGCCTGCTGACATTACACACGGAACAGAAGAACTGTGTACTCACCCTCAGGGTGCACACAGGGCAGAAGAGCAACTATAAGGTGCACAGTGAGAAAGGCCCACCACAGCACTGCTCCTTCTCTACTTCAGAAACATCAACAACAGCTGGGAGAACCTAGGGCAGCGTGGGGCAGCTTGAAGGGTGTGGTCGACGCAGGAGAACGGGACCAGGTGGAGCCTGATACGTTCCCTGGCGTACAGAGCAGAGACTGGGGGACACACTGGGGAAACGAGCCTGCACTGACTGCACGCTGAATGTGAACCTGGAGCTCTCGCGGTAAC